TTTCATTTTTTAGATCGGATTCTGAATGGCTGACTAGTGGCCATTTTGTTTTAATAAATGGGCTTCTAGAGCCATATTTCTGACATGCTTTGACTGACTATGTTCAAATTTCATATATTCATTATACATATATTCATAATGGCTGATTTTGTTTGAATTAATGCTGTTCTAGTTTATTATGTTACATTCTATAAGCAGCAATTTTCATTCTTTCTTATAGTGCTCACAGTCTAAAATAACATGGATTTCATTTTCCACTTTTTTATCATTACATTTTGTACATATTCTATTTTTTTCTTCCACTTTTGGCTTCCTTCTTCGTCCTAATTCAATTTCTAGATTATGGTCACTTATTCTGAATTTTGTTAATATTCTTCTCATGCTGAAGTCCTTTATTTCCTCTAGGTATTTTTCAGTTTTAAATATTGTTTTGAATAAACTGTAAGTTTGTAATTTATCTATATTGTACATTTCTATATTCTTTGTTAGTTGGATGATGATGAAGATGGTTATCTGGATGGTTTTGAAACAATCATGGCATTAAAAGGGATATCTGGTGCTAATACACTAACAGAGATGGAAGAAGAGTACATATACAGAGTAAGTGAAACCAACCACAAAATAAACAGAATAACTTGAATAGAAATGTCCAGTTTTGATGACAGTGCCTTTTAATGTGTATAATGTGCTTATTTTGTAGATATTGGAGATGGCTGAATACCATATCACATCTGGCACTGACTTCAGGATCTTTGCTATAGTAGCAGCACTAACACAGAAGATAGCAAGGCTTGAGTGAGTATAGAAGACAAAGTCATCCTTTTAGAATGTGATCGGTACAAATATATTAGACATGAATTGCTCACAGAAATTACAATAACTAATGCAGAAGATAAATTGAGTAATTTTGTATTTTTGATGAGCAACAAGGACTCCAAGGCAATTAAATGTATGGAGACCTATCTACTTAAAGCCATGGAGTACAGAAAACTTTAACGTTTTTATTTATATTGTATTGTAATTGTGTTGTGTTGTGTATGGATATATTTATTGCTTTTTACCAAAAGAAATATTGTAATTTCTAAGGATGCAATAAAACTTTATTATTATTATTATTATAAGGTGGGCTTTATGTACATACATGTGTAAACTATACATACAGGATCTCATTGCATGTAATTTTCATGCCAGACCAATGAAATCTAACTTTATTTTATTTGTTCTTGTATACTAGTATGGTCTTTATTTACAAATTCAAGGCCATCGGTCTATTAAAGTATTTACATGTACAAGAAGAATATTTAAACAAAATCTAATTAAATCTAAGACCACAGTAGAAAGGTTTTAAATGAGTGACATCATCAAAAGACAAAATAAATGTAATCACATTCTGTGAATACACTGAAGACAAGAAAACACAGCATAAAGCAAACCATTGTACATTCACCAACAATCTGCATGACTTCAAATATAGGAGTTTCAATGCATATTACATCAGTTTACACTCAAATATAATTGTAAATACTATAATAATAATTAATAATATTTTATTATTTATATTTCAGTAACTGGATGAAAAATATCATAAACAGATTAGATTTTAAAATGCTAGAAATGAAAATGTTCAAATCGAAAGTAAGTATATTTTTTTCAGTCCTATTGTAATTTTACAAAATAGCAATGTTCATAAGTAAAAACAGCAAATAATAGTTGTGTTGTGTTTTAACCTTTTCACTACCAGTTCTCTTTTTAATCACAAAATAGTCCTGTTTATAGTCTGCACTTTCCTTCAGAAGATTACGACAAAAATGATAAATTGACTTAAATTTTGTCAAAATTTCCAGAAATATTGAAGAATAAAAGAGTTAGAAAATATATGTTTATGTTTATAAATTCACATCTTCCAGGAAAGATTACCATGATATCACAGTGTGAATATTAATATGATTTCTCTGAAACTGCAGGACCTATTTCTTTGGAATGTGGACCAAAATACCAACACTATATCTATTGAACAGCTGATGATTGAACTGAAAGCAGGTGGCGTGAGTGAAGAGCATCAGGAAGAAGTCCAAGTCAAATTAGGTCATTTAGGGCGGCTAGACTTATTGGATTTTATGACTTATGTGCCGTTATTTATCATGTTACATGAATCGGTTGTAGAAAACCCATTGGACGATTCTAGGGATAAATAGCGTCACATAACACACAGAAGACGAAGAAGTAAACACATCAAGAAATGACACAGCTGTGCACCAAGATGACAGGAACTCGTTTGTAGCAGGTTCATATGCCTAGTACATGTACAATTCTGTGAATGTTTTCTGCATAGAAAGGAAAATCACAAAAACATTTCCAGTATCCATTACATCCATTATTGCCACTAGAGGGCAGTAGCTAAACTGGGAGACCATCACTAGGGGATGTAGTTAAACTAAAAGTATCACCAATAGAGGGCTGCATGTACTTGAAGACCACCATGAGAATTTGTTTGCCCAAGGATGTTAATTTTTAAGGTTAAAACGTGTTGAAAAGTCTTCTGTAATTCACACATTTTTCAAAAGTTACTAAGCATGCTACAATAACCACTTGTATATCATCTGAAACCTTAGATATTCTAACGTATTTGCATATATCTTAGCTTTTAGATGATATATAGGTTGTTATAGTATCATTATAAATAAACATTGTCTGAAAGCATCCCTGGTACTTGTATACTATGATATACTAAACTATGAATGGTGTATATGAAATATACTATTATTTTGAAAAGATATTATTTATGGTATCCCAGACCATTCGTCCCGGTGTTATCGCTATCGCCACACGAGACTCCAGCTTGTCTCCTATACAATTTGACTGCGCACATCCAGAAAGTAGATGTAGCTGTGATTGGTGGAATACTAATGAGTTGAGTGTCAATCAAACGCCCACGCTATCTTTAGTAAACAAAGTCACGTGACACGCGCCATTTTAGTTTTGATTAGTTCATCGGATCGGAGTGGTCGGGCAGGCGATTTCAAGGCAGCACGCTTAACTCTTTCATTCACAGGTTGGGAGATATTAGAATGACTGACAATTTCACGCCACTGTTTTACATTATTGGCGGATTTTTCTGCGCTATCAATCTTTCTCTTACAAACTAGACATAGATGAGACGACAGAGTCGCTCCTTTCACAACGTCGCACTGGATCAAATTGGAAAGACGATTTCCATAAGTTATCCCTCCTGCTTTTCCTGGCTTGAATAAATTCACACACGACTTTAACTGTCCACAAACTCGAAGACTACACGAACA